CTCCTCCCTACAGTAAATCAAAAAAATTAGCTGGGCATGGTGGCTCATGCCTGTGGTTCCACCTACTTGGAAAACTGAGGCAGAAGGATCACCTGAGCACAGCAGATGGCGTCTACACTGGCCATGAGCATGCCACTGCGCCCCAGCTTGGGAGACAGAATGAGACTCCTACTCAAAAAATAGACTGTCATTTTTCTATTCAATTGCCTTATATTGTCTTGAAAATCAATTGATCATATATATGTGTGGGCTTATTTCTGGAATCAATTCTGTTCCATTGACTTCCACCAAATACCACATTACCAGATTGCTGTAGTTTTATGGTTGGTCTTAAAATCACTTAGTGAGAATCCTTCAACCTTGTTTTTCTTTTTCAGAATGTTTTGACTGTGATAGTTTCTCTACTTGTAACCTGGAATCAGCTTGTCAGTTTCTACAGAAAGTCATTGGTCATTGCTAGAAATAAATACAGTCTTGTTTGTTTGTTTGTTTACCTACCCTATATGTTGTGACTTTATTAAACTTGCATTTTATTTTTAATAGTTTTTTTGTGGATTCCTTGAGATTTTCTACATAGACAATTTTTTTTTTTTGAGTTGGAGTCTCACTCGGTCGCCCAGACTGGAGTGCAGTGGCCGCTCTCGGCCACCGCAGCCTCGACCTGCTGGGCTCCGGCGATCCTTCTGCCTCAGCCTTCCAAGTATTACAAGCATGCACTACCACGCCCGGCTGATTTTTTGATTGATTGTAGAGATGCGGTCTCACTGCCCAGGCGGGTCTCAAACCTGCGGGCTCAGGCAATCCACTCACCTCAGCCTCCCAAAGGCGCGGGATTACAGGCTGAGAGGCTGAGCCACTGAGCCCGGCTAGACAATTTTTTTTCTAAATATAGTTATTTTTTCTTTCTGATCTGCATTACCTTTATTTCTTTTTCTGCCTTTATTGCACTGCCTAGGACCTCTCCAGTATGATGCTAAAAAGGAGGTGAGAGCCGGTATTTTTGCCCTGTTCCTGATACTTTAGGGAAGGTATTCAGTCTTTCATCAAGTGTGATATTAGCTGTAGATTCTTTGCAGGTATTTTTTTATTAGGTTGGAAATCTTCAATTCATAGATTACCGAAAATTGTTCCCATAAATAGATTTAAGTTTTGTTAAAAGCTTTTTCCACATCTACTTCAGTCATCGTACAGTTTTTCATCCTTAGAACATTGCTTTGGTGAATCAAATGTATTGACTTTGGAATATTGAATCACCCTTGTGTTCTCCAGATAAACCCCCACTTGACCAGTGTGTGTGTATAGATATATATATGCGTCACATGTATATACATACATATATACATATATGTATATCTATATTTAGATATAGCTAGATTTTAATGTATTGCTGAATTTGATTTCTTTGCATTTTGTCATGAATTTTTACATCTATATTCATTAGAAATACTGGTTTGGGCCAGGCTCGGTGGCTCAGCCTGTAATCCCAACACTTTGGGAGGCTGAGGCGAGTTGATTTCCTGAGCCTCTGAGTTCGAGGCCAACCCTGGGCAACTTGGCGAGACCTCGCTCTACAATAAATAAAAATTAGCCAGGTGTGGTAGCGTGTGCCTGTAGTTCCAGCTTCTTGGAAGGCTAAGGCGGAAGGATCGCTGGCACCCAAGAGGTCGAAGCTGGGGTGGCTGTGAATGTACCACTGCCTTCCAGCCTGGGCAATGCAGTGAGACTCCGATCAAAAAAAAAAAAAAAGAAAGAAATACTGGTTTGTGGGTTTTCTTGTTTTTGTTTTTGTTTTTTTTTGTCTTGACATTAGGGTCATATCAAATGAGTTGAAAAGTGTTCCTTTTTTTTTCCACCTCCGTCTCAACCAGATGGGCTTCGGCGATCCTTCCGCCCCAGCCTTCCAAGTAGCTGGAACTACAGATGCGCGCTACCACGCCCGACTAGTTTTTGATTTATTGTAGAGATGAGGTCTCGCCAAGTTGCCCAGGCCGGTCTCGAACCCGTGGACTCAGGCAATCCACTCACCTCAGCCTCCCAAGGCGCAGGATTACAGGCAGAGCCACCGAACCCGGCTGAAAAGTGTTCCTTTCTATTCAGTTTTCTGGAAGAATTTGTGTATAATTAATATAATTTCTTAAATATTTGATAGAATTTGCTAGTAAAGCCAGTGGGAACTGTACTTTTCTGTTAAAGACTGGGTTTTGTTTTTTCTCCCTGTTTAAACTATGATTAATTGATTAATTTTTTTCTTTAGTGGATAGAGGAAGACTTAAGTTACCTATTTCTTCTTCAATGAGTTTTGATATTGTCTTTCCAAAAACTTGTTCATTTCAACAGTCTTGTTGGATTTATGTGCATAAATTTGACAGAATGTTTTTCTTGTTTTTTTTTTAATATCTGTTAGATCTAATGTGCTGTCTCATCTTTCATTCCTAATGTTGGTGATGTATAGCCTCTCTTTTGATCTTGATTAGTCTTGCTATGTGTTTTGATCCATACAAAGAGGCTGCTTTGGGTTATATTGGTTTTTCACTATTTATTTGTTTTTAATGTCAATGATTTCTTATTGTTACTGCTCCCTTTTGTTTGCTTTGACTTTAACTTACTTTTTTGTTCCTACTTTGTAAAGATAGAAGTTTAGGTAATTTCTTAAATGTAATTTTTAATTATATAAATTTTTCAAGAACTTCTTTAGTTCCATTTCACAAATTTTTATGTTGTATTTTCATTGTCAATCAGTCAAATATTTTCTGATTTTTCTTGTGAATACCTCTTTCACCTTTTTGAAGTATTTTGTTTAATTTCTAAATATCTGAACATTTTCCAGATATTTTTCTGTTACTGTTTTTGTTTTTTAATTGGAGTCTCACTCTGCCGCCCAGGCTGGAGGGCGGTGGCATGCTGATGGCCACCGCAGCCTCCACCTACTGTGCTCAGGCAAGCCTTCCACCTTAGCCTTCCAAGTGGCTGGAACTACAGGCATGCGCTACCATGCTCAGCTAATTTTTGATTTATTGTAGAGATGAGGTCTTCCCAAGTTGCCCAGACTGATCTCGAATCCATTGGCTCAGGCAGTGCTCTCACCTTGGCCTCACAAGATAACAGCCACCACTCCTGGCCAACTGTTATTGATTTTAGTGAATTTCACTGTAGCAAGAGGATATGTACTTTATATAAATTTCAGAGTTTTTAAAAAATAATTTTTTGAGTGTAGTCTATCTTGGAAAATGTTACATGTACACTTGAGGCGAAAGTATTGCTTCTGTTGGATGATGTGTTACAAAACTATCAATTTGGTTGATAACTGTGTAAGTACCTCACAGCCTTTATGGTAGTATACTTCCGATTCCTTCCTACCACTTTTGTATTATTATTGTCATACATTTTGCTTTTAAATATTCTATAAATTCATAGAATATTTCTGCTTGTTTGGATTTTGACTCTTAATTCTGTTCTGCTTATCTATATATATATCTGTCCTTATATTAGTACTGCACAGTCTGTATTACAGTAGGTTTGTAGTGTGTTTTGAAATCAAAGAGTGAGTTTTTCCATGTTATTTTTCCTTTTCGAGATTATTTTGGCTATCCTGGGTCTCTAAAAGTTTCGTATGAACTTTAGGATCACTTGCTAATTTCTGCAAAAACCAGTTGGCATTTTAATGGAGAGCACACTGAATCTGTAAATAAGTTTGCAAATATTGCCATTTTTATCATTATTAAGTCTTCTAATATATAGCAGTTACTGGTTGTATAACTGCTTTTCATTAAGGAACATCATATATTTCTTTTTTTTTCACCTTAAAAAACTAGACTTTCTTTTTTTTTTTTTTTTTTTTTTTTGAGTTGGAGTCTCACTCTGTCACCCAGACTGGGCCACCACAGCCTCGACCTGCTGAGCTCCAGCGATCCTTCCACCTCAACCTTCCAAGTAGCTGGAACTACAGGCGCGCACTACCACGCCCGGCTAGTTTTTTGATTTATTTTAGAGATGCAGTCTCGTGAAGTTGCCCAGGCGGGTGTCGAACCTGTGGGCTCAGGCAATCCACTCACCTCAGCCTCCCAAAGGCGTGGGATTACAGGCTGAGCCACCGAGCCTGGCTAAAAAACTAGATTTTTAATCAGGAATGTGGAACTGAAGATGTTCCCCAAGTGCATTTCCACAGTGTTGAGCAGCCCTAGTGCGGGTGCTAGGCAGGGTACCAGGCCTCTCCAGGAGGCCAGGGAGGTCTGTGGAGGCCCATCCATCCCGAGCAGGACAGCTGGTGACGGCCCCACCTCAGTCAGCCAGGGTGGTGGGGAGGCCATGGCAGCATCTGGGCCTCTTTGGGACTGTACTCTGGTCACATCTGAGGTTTTTCCCAACAAGGGACATGGCTGTGACACTGTGAGCAGGGTGGCCCGGGCTGACAGCGAAGCCAGCTGATGGGAATGCACGGCGCTCACCCTCACCTCAGGTCAGGAGACGGGCCTAGCCAAGGATGCTCTGCTCCTGGTACTTGGGCCGGCGGGCACAGTGGGGCACATCATGTATTTCTTAGTCTTCTTTATTGACAGTAGTAATAATCGGATATCTAAAATATGGGATATCTTTCCACATATTAGATTTTCAGTTTCTTGCAAAGGCAGTTTCTAGTTTTGAGTATATTGGTCTTGTACTTCTTTTATTAAATTTCTTCCTACATATTTTGCTTTTTTAAAATTGTTTGTTGGTAATATATAGAAATACAGTTTTTTTAGTATTGATCTTTTAACACATTTTAATTACCCTCTTCAAAAGTGTTAAGAGGATAACTATTTAGTACTATTATTTTGCAGCTGTAAACTGTTATCTAGAAATATTATAATTAAAGCGATATAAGACAAATATCTGAAGTTGAAATCCAATAATTTGAATTTTAGACTTTTCAACTATATATTTAGCTCCATTGTCTTATTTTATGAAATAAATTTTAGTAATTAGAAAAAAATTGATATTTGATTTTGTTTTTCTATTTTTAGTGTTAAATGTTTACAAAAGACAGTGAAGGATTCCTATCACATAATGTGTAGACCATGTGCCTATGAACTTGAAGTTTGCGCAAAGTGTGGAAAGAAAGAAGAAATTGTCATACCGTGAGTATTTCCTTTCATGTTTCGATTTTACCCTCATAATTGATACATGAATTTTCTTTTAATAAGATGGTCAGACAGGGTACAGTGGCTCACGCCTATAATACCAGCACTTTGGGAGGATGAAGTGAGAGTATTGCCTGAGCCCACGGCTTCAACACCAGCCTGGGCAACTTGGCAAGATCTCATCTCTATAATAAATTTAAAAATTAGCTGGGAATGGTGGTGTGTGCCTGTAGTTCTAGCTACTTCGAAGGCTGAGGCAGAAGGATAGCCTGAGCCCAGCAAGTCGAGTCTGCGGTGACAGTGAGGATGTCACTGTACTCCAGCCTGGGATGCAGAGTAAGACTCAACTCAAAAAAAAAAAGAGAGTCAGTCAGTAACTCTTAGTCTTATGTTCCAGTATATTACACTAATACAGACTTTTTTTTTTTCTACCAAACAGGAGAAGAGTCATAATTATTTGTCAAATTTTTCTACATTATAATGCAAATGCAGCTTAATATTTTTTTTTTTTTTTGAGTCGGAGTCTCACTCAGTCGCCCAGACTGGAGTGCAGCGGCCGCTCCCGGCCATCGCAGCCTCGACCTGCTGGGCTCCGGCGATCCTTCCGCCTCAGCCTTCCAAGGACCCGGAATTACAGGCATGGGCTACCATGGCCAGCTGATTTTTTGATTTATTGTAAAGATAAGGTCTTGCTGCCCAGGCGGGTCTCGAACCCGCGGGCTCAGGCAATCCACTCACCTCAGCCTCCCAAAGGCGCGGGATTACAGGCTGAGCCACCGAGCCCGGCTCAGAGTTTTCTTATAACAAATTTGCACATTGCATATATTAGAATGTCTTCTAACATGAATTTTTGGGTATCATTTTGCAGTTTATAGAAATTATTTAGAAGAATGTATCCCCTAATATCAAACTAAACAAGATTCAGAATTGATGGTTGTATAAGAACTATCTCATATAAAAATAAGATGACAGGCCGGGCTCGGTGGCTCAGCCTGTAATCCTAGTACTTTGGGAGACTGAAGCAAGTGAATTGCCTGAGCCCATGGGTTCAAGACCTACCTGGGCAACTTGGCGAGACCTCGTCTCTGCAATAAATTAAAAATTAGCCGGGGGTGGTAGCGGGCGACTGTAGTTCCAGCTACTTGGAAGGCTGAAGTGGAAGGATCGCAGGAGCCCAGCAGGTCAAGGCTGCTGTGGCCGGCAGCATGCCAGTGTACTCCAGTCTGGGCGACAGAGTGAGACTCCAACTCAAAAAATAAAAATAAAAAAAATTAGATGACATGTTACTAGACTCCAGACTTGGTCCTTGGTAAGTACCTTTTGATATATTGTTTGCAAGTCATCAACTCACATTGCAAAAGCTCCCTTGCTTATGTTTCTTTCAAAGCAAAAGCAGTTTTTAAAAAATATTTAACAATTGATAGCAATTTTTTGAAAATATTTTTGTATTATCACATTATTTTTAGCTTTTTCTCTTGTGAAATATACATATGTGTAATTTAGTAAATAATTTTAAAGGAAATTTCATACATTTACACCCAGGTGAAACTGGCCAAAAACCTTTCATGAGGCTCTCTCAGCAAAAATGTATCCTTCCCAGAGTTGGCACGTTTCTGGATTTTGATAATTGTTTTCTTTATTTTGCTACCTGTGTTTGTACTCCTAAACAATATCAATTAGCACTGCCTGATTTTTGAGCTCCCTCCTATACTTTTACTTTGAAAAATCTTAAACCTACTAAAGTAGCCAAATAGTTCATTGAACCTTTGCGCATTCTTCACCTAGATTCACAATTGTTAACATTTCACCATGTTGTCTTTATCTCTCACTAGATGGAGATGTGTGTGTGTGGTTTTTTGTTTTTGTTTTTGCTTTTTTTTTTTTTGGTGGAACCAATTGAAAATAAGTGACAAGCACTATGTATTACTCCATGTATTTGTATACTATAGTTTATTTTTTCAAATGTTGAGAGGCATTTGAATTATCAAAATTTTTGTTACAAACAATACTGGTATGAACATTATTATTTGTATCTCTTGATACCTGTGTTTATTTCTGTTAGGCTTATAGCCACAGTGGTGGAGGAAACCAGGTGTATGCATCTTCAGTTTTACTCTACAATATGAAACTTTCTGGAGGGTCTTCTATCCCCTTTCTCATAGCGATGTATTCGAGTTTCAGTTCTCTGCGTCCTAACACTTTGTTATCAAACCTTTAAATTTCTGTCAGTTTTATATGTATCTGAACAGTATCTCTTTGTCTTATGAATTCATATTTCTCTGATTACTAATAAGCTTGAGCCCCTTTTTATGTTTACTGGTTTACTGACTGTTTAGTTTTTGGTAATCAATAATATTAATGAATTTTTTAATTTTTTTAACTTTTTCTTGAGGTAAAGTGTATATATATAATTAAGGAATAATTTTTGTTAAAGTTATTTTCAAAATGCATACTGAAATATTCACGGGTGTAATGTCAATTTACAGCGTATTTCAGCATAAGAAATTTCAGCATAAGAAAGTCAAAACGGGGGTGGGGCAGGATTGGCAGTAGTGAAGCTGTGGGTGGGGAGGGGGAGGCACTCCTTATCAACAAGGGTACCTGCATAATGATCATTTGTTTACCTATAACCCTAAATTGTACCCCATGTCTTTAAAAGTAAAAAAAGGAGAAAAATAATAATAAAGAATCAAACAACAAAAAGAGACATTAAAGAAAATGGAAGCCAGGCTCGGTGGCTCAGCCTGTAATCTCGTGCTTTGGGTGGCTGAGGTGAGTGGATTTCCTCAGCCCCGTAGATTCGAGACCCAACTGGGCAACTTGGCGAGACCTCATTTCTACAATAAATAAAAAATGAGCAGTACGTGGTAGCACACGCCTGTAGTTCCAGCTACTTGGAAGGCTGAAGTGGAAGGATCGCCGGAGCCCAGCAGGTGGAGGCTGCGGTGGCCGGGAACAGCCACTGCACTCCAGTCTGGGTGACAGAGTGAGACGCCAACTCAAAAAAAAAAGAAAGAAAATGCAGAAGAGGTATCATGTTCATGATGTCAAAGTCTCAATCTCAATATTCTATCTAACCTTACAGTCTTAATAGAAATTTCCCAGAAATTTCCGTGGCTTTCTTTTGCATATAAATTTATTTTCTGGGCTGTTACTTTTGTGATTATAGAGCCAACAAAGATATTATTAGACCTAATATAAATTCCTTCTCCTATGAATGAGTTGTAATTCCTCAGATTACTTTACCAGGAGTGAAATTTAACAAAGAGCATCACCTAGTGACATATATTAATAGCTACATTTCATTCTTTTGAAAGAAAGGTTATTTTGTTTTTTATTATTTTATTTTATATTTTTTTGAGTCAAGAGTCTCATTCTGTTGCCCAGACTGGGGTGCAGTGGCATGCTTACAGCCACCACAGCCTCAACCTGCTGGGCTCATGTGATCTTTTCACCTCAGCCTTCCAAGTAGCTAGAACCACAAACATGTGCCACGCCTGGCTAATTTTTTTGATTTATTGTAGTGACGAGTCTTGCAAAGTTGCCCAGTCTTTGACAGACTGTATATTTAGTTACCTTTTTTTTTTTAGGGAATTATCCTTTCTAATCTAAGAGCTATTTTTTTTAAAGCAAAAAAAATATGTAGAAATGAGATAAAGCCTTGTTTTAATGTAGTTAATCAGTTTAATCTAGTTTATTACTCTTGTCATACCTTGATATTTGGCAGGTTATCAAGACTGCATCACATACTCTAAATTATTACAGTGCTTTATTACAGAAGTTCCAAGATTCTGATTATAAAATTCATATGAGAAGCTTTTAAGAAAATTCTTATTCCTGAAATATGATTCATTTGGTCTGTAATACAGGATTTTTTCCAACTACTCAGGTGATTCTCATCATCAGCCACAACAAAAACAGTTAATTGCATAGCCATCTCCATGCCCACCTGTTCCTGGTTGTTTTTTTGTTTTTGTTTTTGAGTTGAGTCTCACTCTGTCATCCAGGTCACCCAGTGGCATGCTCAAGACTAATTGCTTCTTTCTAGCTGCCAGAATATACTACTCCTTTGTTGCATTCTTTCACAGCTTCTCTTTCAGCTAGTAGTATCCAACCACGTGAGGGGAGTCTTCTGAGAGATTCTGGGAAAGATTTACCTCACTGACAAAAAAAAAAAAGCCCTTTTCCACCAAGCACTTCCTGCCTGAATATGACTGTAAGAAGACATAATGTCTAGAGTGTGCGTGCATCTGTGATTGCAGAAACCAAATGAGCTGCAGAGACAGTGATCTGGAGCCCTGACATTATGTTGCTGAACTAATGAACCCTGGGCCCACCCACCTCTAGAATTCTTGTAAGATAATTGCATGTCTAATTGCATAAGCTGTTGCTAATCGGAAATTCTGTTACTTGCAAGCCAAATGCATTCCCAGTTGATAGGTCAGCAAGTTTTGTAACCCTATTCTACAGAACTTAATATGTATGATGGCAAAAAGAGAAAAATGAGTATATTATTTAAAAGAATTAATTAGTAATGAAGGTTTATCAATTTGGTTGTTTGCCTATATTCTGTTAAAGAAGAATTAAGATATATATACACACAAGATTTTATATATATAAGGTATAGATCATATATATTATACATGATTTTTTCTTACATGAAATTTGTAACAACATTAACACATCTCTGTCCCTTAGGTCCCTCTTTCAAGATCTTTTTCATTCCTTGTAATATTACTCCTGTTCTGAATACCCTGTCCAAAAGCTACTTTTTAAATAAAATGATTAGAGACATTTCCCTTATAATTGTGGCACAGAGTTTCTGTCACTCATTTTGTTTCCATTTGTCAGCAATACCGAATGTTACAGGACCATTTTCCAGTTTTCCCTGGCAGTCCTTATGGAATCGAGGGAGTTTGCTGGGATTGCTTAGTCAGCTCTATGCTAGTGAGTTCCACAGTTTTGTCAACCATTGTTCATAGGGAAAAAATTGTGCCTCCCTAAATCTTATACGTAAGACTATTTAAGGAATTAAAGTACCAGCCTTTCAAAAAGATGACACTACACAAAACTATACAGGTGGTTGCATTCCTTATTCCTATAGAATCTTAAAAATTAAGAAAAAGTTATCTTTCAGATAACTTTTCAATGGCTTTCTTACAAAAGATTTTGCATTGTCATGAATATATAGTTGGCATTTAATTGGTACTGATAAGGAGGCTTTACAAATTATATTGAGCCCTCGGGTTCGAGACCCGCCTGGGCAACTTGGTGAGACCTCATCTCTACAATAAATCAAAAAAATTAGTTTGGCATAGTAGCGCGCGCCTGTAATTCCAGCTACTTGGAAGGCTGAGACGGAAGGATCGCTGGAGCCCAGCAGGTGGAGGCTGCGGTGGCCGGGAGTGGCCACTGCACTCCAGTCTGGGCGACAGAGTGAGACTCCAACTCAAAAAAAAAAAAAATTATATTGAGCCGGGCCCAGTGCCTCAGCCTGTAATCCCAGCACTTTGGGAGGTTGAGGCGAGTGGATTGCCTGAGTCCGCAGGTTTAAGACCATCCCGGGCAGCTTGGTGAGACCTCGGGAATATTATGCAGCCATAAAGAAGGGCAAACATATGAACTTCACAACAACTTGGATAGATTTAGAGTTGATAATACTCAGTGACCTATCACAGAAACAGAACAGAGCACTATATGTTCTCACTCATAAGCGGCCTTGAACAATTATAATAGTATAAGAAAGCGATTGATAGTAGTGGGGGGAGGATTGGCCGTTGAGGGAAACAGTCAGGGAAGGGTTCATCTCATCAACAAGGGTACCTGCATAATCAACGTTTGTATACCTAACCCTGAATCGTACCCCACATCTTCATAGTAAAAAAATAAAAATACTCCAGGCTCAGTGGCTCAGCCTGTAATACCAGCACTTTTGGAGGCTGAGGCAAGTACATTGCCCGAGCCCGTGGGTTCAAGACCCACCCGGGCAACTTGGCGAGACCTTGTCTCTACAATAAATCAAAAAACTAGCCGGGCGTGGTAGCGCCCACCTGTTCCAGTTACTTGGAAGGCTGAGGCAGAAGGATCGCGGAAGCCCAGCGGGTAGATGGCTGGGATGGCGGTGAGCGTGCCACCGCACTCCAGGCTGGGCAAGAGAGTGAGACTCCAACTTAGAAAAAAAGGTTGTAAAATTACAAATAGTGTCAGAGTTGACTTGAAACAATTTGCATTGTGATGGAATGTATGGTTGGTACTTAACGGGCACTAATGAGGGTTTTAAAACTATAGGTTGCAAAAGTACAAATAGTACCTAACTTCAGAAGTTGAACAAGTGAATTTATTTCTTTTTTTTTTTTTGAGTTGGAGTCTTACTCCGTCGAGTGCAGTGGCACGTTCACAGCCACCCCAGCATAAACCTGAGGGGCTCCAGCGATCTGTCTGCCTCAACCTTCCAAGTAGCTGGAACTACAGGCGCGCACTACCACGCCTGGCTGATTTTTATTTTTATATTTTTATTAATTGTAGAGACAAGGTCTCGCCAAGTTGCCCGGGCTGTTCTCAAACCCATGGGCTCAGGCAGTCCTCTCGCCTCGGCCTCCCAAAGTACTGGGATTACAGGCTGAGCCACCGAGCCCTGCCGATCAAGTGAATTTCATCAAAACTTGGTTTAGAAGTTTTTTAACTTCCAGTAACAATAATTTGAAGTATATAAATTTTAATAACTATTTACATATAAATCATTTAAATGTGTAAAATGAATTTTTTTCATTTTTTAAATCAAGTGTTTTTCAATTCAAAATTAACATTATGGATTCCCTGAGCCCACGGGTTCAAGACCCA